GATCTCCCCATATCTCCCCACACCTCCCCATATCTCGTCCACCAGGAGGATACGCTTATCTCCCCATATCTCCCCATATCTCCCCACATCTCCCCATATCTCGTCCACCAGGAGGATACGCTTATCTCCCCATATCTCCCCACATCTCCCCACATCTCCCCATATCTCGTCCACCAGGAGGATACGCTTATCTCCCCATATCTCCCCACATCTCCCCACATCTCCCCATATCTCGTCCACCAGGAGGAGACGCTTATCTCCCCATATCTCCCCATATCTCCCCACATCTCCCCACATCTCCCCATATCTCGTCCACCAGGAGGATACGCCTATCTCCCCATATCTCCCCACATCTCCCCACATCTCCCCATATCTCGTCCACCAGGAGGATACGCCTTTCTCCCCATATCTCCCCATATCTCCCCACATCTCCCCATATCTCGTCCACCAGGAGGATACGCTTATCTCCCCATATCTCCCCATATCTCCCCACATCTCCCCATATCTCGTCCACCTGGAGGAGCAGCTCACTCTCTTCTTCTATTGTTCACAGCGTGCCATGTAGTGTATTATTCGGCTGTTACATCACGGTACCAGTGTATTCCTATCGTTCACACTGCTCGCCCGACAGGAGGAGGCGCGCTTGGCCGCCGCTGTGAACAGAGTCTCACCCCACCTGCAGCTGCGAGTAGGAGGAGTCGTGCTGGCCGCTCTCCGAGGACAAGGTGCTCAAGGAGAAGTTCCCACATCTCCCCATATCTCCCCACATCTCCCCGCATCTCCCCGCATCTCCCCGTCTCTCCCCGCATCTCCCCACATCTCCCCACACCTCCCCACACCTCCCCATACCTCCCCACATCTCCCCATATCTCCCCACACCTCCCCACATCTCCCCACATCTCCCCACATCTCCCCATATCTCCCCACACCTCCACACCTCTCCCCACCTCTCCCCACATCTTCCCCACCTCTCCCCACCTCTCCCCATCTCTCCCCAAGGTGCTCAAGGAGAAGTTCGACGCCATCTTTGCGTCGACCAAGTTCACAAAGGCGCTCGCACAGAGACGCGCACGCACACAAGGACACGCCGCCGCCCAATCACTGCGTCTCAAGAGAAAGTCGGGAGGCCAAGGCGCGCCGTTGGTGCGGCGTCGCGCGGCCGCGAGGGATTCGCGGGGGAATGCTGGTGGGAGGGGGGGCTCTGAGGGGAATAAGGGAGCGGGGGGCGCCCGGTAGGGCGCCGGCACCCCAGCGTAGGGGGCGTCGTGATGCCCCGCTGGTTTGGACCATTCGAACCAGGCAGTGCTCGCGCCGCGTCACTCCCGACATCTCCCCATATCTCCCCATATCTCCCCGTATCTCCCCATATCTCGCGCAGGCGCTCGACGAGATCAACAAGTACAAGAAGGCGAAGAAGACGGAGGAGAAGGTGCTCAACGCCGAGTTCGGCCAGCTCGACGAGGCCGCCGCGTGTATAGAAGACACACTCGAGGGAGCAAACGGAAGGTGGAGAGACAGAGGACACACCCGCCATGAAGACACACCCGAGGGAGCAAACGGCAAGGTGGAGAGACAGGGGACACACACCCGCCCATGAAGACACACCCGAGGGAGCAAACGGCAAGGTGGAGAGACAGGGGACACACACCCGCCCATGAAGACACACACCCGAGGGAGCAAACGGCAAGGTGGAGAGACAGGGGACACACCCCCGCCCATGAAGACACACCCGAGGGAGCAAACGGCAAGGTGGAGAGACAGGGGACACACACCCGCCCATGAAGACACACCCGAGGGAGCAAACGGCAAGGTGGAGAGACAGGGGACACACACCCGCCCATGAAGACACACCCGAGGGAGCAAACGGCAAGGTGGAGAGACAGGGGACACACACCCGCCCATGAAGACACACCCGAGGGAGCAAACGGCAAGGTGGAGAGACAGGGGACACACACCCGCCCATGAAGACACACCCGAGGGAGCAAACGGCAAGGTGGAGAGACAGGGGACACACACCCGCCCATGAAGACACACCCGAGGGAGCAAACGGCAAGGTGGAGAGACAGGGGACACACACCCGCCCATGAAGACACACCCGAGGGAGCAAACGGCAAGGTGGAGAGACAGGGGACACACACCCGCCCATGAAGACACACCCGAGGGAGCAAACGGCAAGGTGGAGAGACAGGGGACACACACCCGCCCATGAAGACACACCCGAGGGAGCAAACGGCAAGGTGGAGAGACAGGGGACACACACCCGCCCATGAAGACACACCCGAGGGAGCAAACGGCAAGGTGGAGAGACAGGGTACACACCCGCCCATGAAGACACACCCGAGGGAGCAAACGGCAAGGTGGAGAGACAGGGGACACACCCCCGCCCATGAAGACACACCCGAGGGAGCAAACGGCAAGGTGGAGAGACAGGGGACACACACCCGCCCATGAAGACACACCCGAGGGAGCAAACGGCAAGGTGGAGAGACAGGGGACACACACCCGCCCATGAAGACACACCCGAGGGAGCAAACGGCGCGGCGCGACCGACGGAGCACGCGAGCTTCGTTTTCTTCACCGCGCTTTCCTCCTCCCGGGCGCTGCACTCGGTCAAAAGTGTCTCGGAAGTGTCTCGGAGGTGTCTCGGAAGTGTCTCGGAAGTGTCTCGGAAGTGTCTCGGAGGTGTCTCGGAAGTGTCTAGGAAGTGTCCAGGAAGTGTCTAGGAAGTGTCCAGGAAGTGTCTCGGAGGTGTCTCGGAAGTGTCTCGGACGTGTCTCGGAAGTGTCTCCCCAGGCGCTGCACTCGGTCAACAAGCTGCGCACCGAGGAGACGGCCGGCAAGACGGCGCTCAGCGAGACCAACGGCCTGATTGCGAAGCGGCGCGAGACACTTCCGAGACACTTCCTAGACACTTCCGAGACACGTCCGAGACACCTCCGAGACACCTCCGAGGCACTTCCGAGACACTTCCGAGATTGCAAAGCCGCGCCGCGAGATTCTCCGAGGTTCTCCGAGATTCTCCGAGATTCTCCGAGGTTCCGCGAGGTTCTCCGAGATTGTGGCGAGATGCGTGCTCCGAGGGGGTCTGATACCGCACCGCCCATGGGACCGAACCCACACTGGAATCGAGAGTCTGGAGGTGTGGTAGAGAGCCACAGTTCGT